GAGGAATGCAAGGATTCTGTGCATATTTTGAAGATGGAGCCAATCAAAGTTTCTGATTAGATTGGATGTAAAGTAAAAGAGTCAAGGATGAACCAGAATTTAGGCCTAAGCAGTATGATAAGGAAGGCAGCATTAACTGATAGAGAATTCTATAGGTAGAAGTTTTGTGGAGAAAATAGGAAGAATCTTCTCAAAATACCAGCTTTATGCTCAACCAAGTTTTCACAATTTTTCTGTTTTCTATTTGATTTATGTTTACTATTTCCTTTCTTCTAGGCAGAAGCTGAGGTCATACAGTTGAGACCTTTCTTTTCTAATACTGATATTTAGAGCTATAAATTTTTCCCTAATTACTACTTTAATGTTTCAGATTTCCCTTTCAATTTCTTCTTTGAGTCATAGATTATTATAAGTTTGTTTAGTTTCTAAATATTTGGGGAGTTTTCCAGAGATATTTTTTTACTGATTTCTAATTCCATTTTGCTCAAAGAACATACTTTGTATGTCTCAAATCCTTTTGAATTTATTGAGACTTGTTCTGTGGCCCAGAATATGTTCTCTCTTGGTAAATGTTTCATATGTACTTAAAAAGGATATGCATTCTGCTATTTGGGGGTTGGAATGTTCTATAAATATTAGTTAGGCCAAGTTGGCTTGGTGGTGGTGTTCAGATCTGCTGTATTTTACTGATTTATTGTCTTCTTCCTCTTTCAGTTATTAAGAAAGAGGTATTGAAATCTCAGGCAGTAATTACAGGTCAGCTTCCTCCTCCATGCAGAACTTTATATTCGTGTCATTTGCAGCACTTTTTCTTATACTAACAGTGATATTTATTTATTTTTATTTTTGACTTTTTAAAATTATACTTTAATTTTGGGGTACATGTGTAGAATATGCAGGCTTGTATAGACAACTGGGATTATTATGTTCTCTTGGTGAATTATCCCCCTCTATCATTATGAAATGACCTACTTTATTCACAATAAGATTCTTATTGTGAATCTGGTTTGTCTTAATATTATAGTTGTTCCAGCTTTCTTTTGTCTATTTATATTTTTTTAACTTTTACTCTGTTTGTCTTTATATATAAAGACGGCAGCATATAGTTGTTTTTTTATCTGATGTGATAATTTCTGCCTTTATTTGGGGATTTAGGCCACTCACATTTAATGTGTTAATTGATGTGGTTAGGTTCAAATGTATCATTTGAAGTTTGTGTTCTGTTTTATGTTTTCTTTTTCTCCACTTCTGATTTCATTTGAGTTATTTGAATTTTTTTTATTATTTCCTTTTATCTCTTTTGTTGTCTTATTAGCGATATTTTTTGTTGTTGTTTTAGTGGTAGCTTTAGGACTTATAATGCCTTTAATTTCAAGTTTGATCCCCAGGTGACATACCACTTTACATATTGTACGAGAACATTACAACAGTATACTTTTTTGTCTCCTAACCTTTGTGCTATGATGTCATGTATTTTATTTTTATGTGTCACAAACCCCGTACTCTATTGTGTTAATAAAAACTCAGTTGTCATTTAAAGGGGTTGCTATTCTCTCAGAGATCATTGTCTTTTGTTGGCTGATGCTGATTGTCTTGTAAAACATTGTTTCATGTGTTTTACCTATCCCTTAGTTGTTTCATGTAGGAGAATAAATCCAATTCTTTTACTCCATCTTATCCAGAAGATAGGTAAGTTCATTTGGGGGATGTTGAATGTAAAGTTGAGTCCAGGGATGAAGTAGAAGCTAAAGACATGAATGTGGGGGTTTATATTATATAAATAATATTTAAAACCATAAGACTGAGTGAGGTCATTAAGGGAATTAATACAGATTGATGAGAAGTTCAAGGACTGACGCCTGGTACATTCCGATATTAAGAGATGGGTGAGATTAGGAACCAGTAAGAGACTAAGAAGAAACCACTGTTGTGCTAGGAGGAAAATCAGAGTGTAGTATGGTTTCCACATTTAGTGGGAAATCATTTAAACCTTGCTTAAGTATCTTAAATCTCAAGATCCAACCCCCTCATCATTTCAATCATATAAGTCATCGTAAGTAAGAACCCAGTGCCTTTTATTTTAAAATTGTGATTTATATATTTTCCCAAAGAAGTTGCATATTACTGCATAATGGCCCACACAATGATTGGGTTAGTCATATTAGAAACCAGGTTGAAAAAGTTCCAACACATCATGTCATAGCATCTAAAACTATAATTAATCTGTACTTCCATTTGGTGGGCTGTCACCACCAAACTGCTAAATATGATCGAGGGGATGCTAAAAGGCGCAACGGCTGCGAAAGTGATCCAGGGGAAGTTAAACCTAAGTAAAAATTAAGAACTTTCCTTCAGAGAAGTTAAAATTTTTCCTTATTTATTTGGTATCCATAATAAAACATGAACATATTAATACTATTCAAATTTCAGAACTAGAGGACATTTCTCAAAGCTTAAAAGAACTAAATTTTAAAAATCAATGGAAATGAACTTTTTTTGATGAAAGAATAAAGTGATAGAGAAGTTTAAATCAGTTTTTTGGAAACTATGTTTTTAAAGAACCGGGTCTTCCACAAGTTAGAAAGATAGTCATCTCCTAAAATAAAATGATACGTTTTTCTGAAGGTATCAGCAAAATTAAGCAAATAGATAAAATTTTCCCATTGAAAGTTTCCTGCTATTAACTTTCTTTTAAACCCTTATTATCTCCTAGGACCTACCATGCTAATACTCTGTGAACTCTAATTTAGAATAATTGTATGTTTTATTAATTATTGTTAAATAAGGGAAATTTTTTATATTTTTAATGCAAAAGAAAAATTTTTTGGGTAACCGTAAGGATTTCTTGGGCTAGCCTTATTACATATTTTTTTAAATCCCATGTATAAAATATATTAATTTTGAAAATGTTTTTCCACTCTTCCTTGCATAAAATAATTTTATTCAAGTATTTTTATTTATCTGACATGATTTTGAAAAGAAATGTTTACAGTGATATCTCGCATTTCATATTTTAGATCATACCCCTCGGAATAACACTTAAAAATTTTGCCCTGTTTTTAATCTTGTCATTTAAATAAAAGGGTGGGAAGAACCGTATCTAAGAACACATTACTAGTATGCAGGTGAGTTTCTACCTGTAACTTAGTTAAACATTTCTTGTATAAATTGACCTAAGTCAGTACAGTGGGATGACTTAGAATAGAAATCATAGTCTTACATAAAGGAGTGGGGAATAACCTATAAAATTATGATTTTTTTTTTTTTTTTGAGACGGAGTTTCGCTCTTGTTTACCCAGGCTGGAGTGCAATGGTGCGATCTCGGCTCACCGCAACCTCTGCCTCCTGGGTCAGGCAATTCTCCTACCTCAGCCTCCTGAGTAGCTGGGATTACAGGAACGCGCCACAGTGCTCAGCTAATTTTTTGTATTTTTAGTAGAGACGGGGTTTCACCATGCTGACCAGTATGGTCTCGATCTCTTGACCTCGTGATCCACCCGCCTCAGCCTCCCAAAGTGCTGGGATTACAGGCGTGAGCCACCACCCCCGGCCCAAAATTATGATTTTTAATAAGCAGTTATTCAAACTTATTATAACTTACTGATATCATAAGTAATTGTACCTCAGTTTGTCATTTTTCTTTATTAGCAAGTTAAAAATAGCTACATGAGTCTGCATCACTAAGAAGATGGTGTAGCCTTGGAGGTCAAAGCTGGGGCTAGAGCAGTCTCCAAATCTCACAGTTAGGCCAGAGTTCTCAGATGAATTAATCACCCAAACAAGAGACTCCTTGAGGTCTTCTTCATTTTCACACACAGAAACCTTTCTGGAACGTAAAATGTTTGAACCTGAGAATGATGGCTGTCTCAGGCTCTCCATAATCTGAAGCATGTCCAGGTTTAAAGAGGATACCCCAGACTAGCCCGCCTTCAGGCACTCCCAAGAGGCAAGATGAAGCACCAGAAAACCCTCACAACAGGTTAAAATCACGTGTTTTCTGTTGAAAAAATGGTAATGACTGTCAACTTTTAATGCTTTTTTTCATTGAAAAAGGAATGCCATGAATCTTCTCTAGCTGTTTATGAGTCTTGGGGTAAAACAAAGTTATTAGACATTATTATTATCATATTTAAAGCAAAGTTTTTACCATCATATTGCTTCATGGAACTCACATCTGTAACATTAGATAAAAAGCAGTTTTCAGAAAAGAATGGAAAACTTCAATAATATCTGCAGTAGTTGAGCCAATGTCAAGTGAGCACATAAAATGTGAGCCAGTTCGAAGTTTTATATAAACATATATATGCATGTATATGTTTATATAAAATTCATATTATATAAATACGTGAATATATGTATACTTATGAAATTCTAGGTTTTTTCTTATAATAGCTTAATCATATTTTTTCTTTTTTTTTTTTAAATCGTGATTTTTTTTGATACATGGATAAATTGTACAGTGATAAAGTCTGCAATTTTAGTGCCCCCACCATTGGAGTAGTGTACATTGTACCCTAATAGGTAGTTTCTCACCCCTCACCCCCCTTCTGACTTCCCCACTTCTGAGTATCCAATATCCATTATACCACTCTATATGCCTTTGTGTACCCATAGCTTAGGCCCAACTTGGAAGTGAGAACATACGGTATTTGGGTTTTGATCCTGGTTACTTTCCTTGGAATAATAGCCTTCAGTTCCATACAAGTTGCTGCAAAAGACACTATTTCATTGTTTATATTGGTTGAGTAGTATTCCATGTTGTATATATACCACATTTTCTTAATCTGCTTATCAGTTGATAGGCATTTAGGTTGATTCCATATGTTTGCAGTTTAGACATTATCTTTTATTAAATATACTTAGTTATGATATGTGATTTCCATATGTACCAGCAAATATATACCAGCATATGAATGTGATAAAAAGGAAAGTTTTAATATTTCAAAGCTATAGGAAAAAGCAATGTAGATTAATAGGAGAGCCCAGGCCTGGGATTCACTTGACTAGACTCTTGTTTTGCTTTCTGTCCACTATCCAAGTTCTTTATTTATGAAACAGGAAGGATTAATGGAATTGAACAGAATATTTCCCAAAGCTCTTTATAATTATTTACAATTCTGAATTTTTATTATTTTAACAAGTAGAAACATAGAGTAAATACTCACTAACGAGTTTATTACTTCCTTTATGCTTGGGAAGTCATCTTTTCCCCCCAAGTAGTCATGATAATTACAGCTTTCTACACTTGAAGTCATGGGTGCTCTGAACTCGTAAAGAATAGAATTTAGTACATGGTTATAAAAGTCCTTTCATTACAGAGTTAAGTAATGGTGGGAAATGTGACCTCTACTCTTTAGTGAATAGATCTTTTTAATATACAGAGGCATTGTTCTTTTTGGCTTAATAATGAAAGCATTCATTATATCTAGCACTTGGTTCTAATCTAATCTTCGTATAGAACTCATTGTTTGATAATGTAATGTGACCTTGATTGCAATCATGGGGATGGTCATGGTTGTTGCTGCTGTATGGACCCTAATTATAGCGTTTCTTCTGCACTTGTGAAATGAACTTCATTTTTATCAATACCTATGAAGTCTGAGTAATCAAATTCTTTTAGGATTGCTGTTGGTTAATCATTGATGAGATACTTCTTTACATTTTTGTGATTTGCTGTTAATGTAATCATGTACTCTTTCTTCATTGTAGTTATATTATTGTTAAGGAAAATTGAAAATGTCTGTGCTGTGATTAATTACCCAGTTGTTTGCTTCTTTAGGGCCACCATTACTTAAAATTAGAAAATGTGCTGGATCTTAAGATTTTCACTACTTTAAAATGAATTTGTGAGCATATTTTAATATTTAATTCTTCAGGGGAAATATAATAATTCTGCTATAATTACCTGTTGAAATACAACAATTTCTAAATTATATTTGATGACCATTTTTAGCTCAATTACCAGAAGTTTGAGATTATATTCTTCCTTAGCCCCATTTACATACAAATCTTTTTACTGTAGTACAAGGAGAAATGAGGGTCCCTGAAGAAGCTCTAAAGGTAAAAGTGTTTACTTAGCTTCTTTTGAAACCTACTATTCACACGGTTGACTTTACTTCTTGATGTTTCACTTCCATTTTTCAATGTTTTATAGCATGAGAAGTTTACCATTCAACTTCAGTTGTCCCAGAAATCTTCCGAATCAGAATTATCCAAATCTGCAAGTGCCAAAAGCATAGATTCAAAAGTGGCAGAGGCTGCTCCTGAAGTGCAGCACAAAGCTACTGAAGCACTGAAGTCTGAGGAAAAGGCCATGGGTAAGCCTTCCTCTTCCAGAAGACCGTCTTTAGGCTTGATTGTGAAGACACTGCATGCTTTGTTCTCAGAAAGCTGGCCATGTCCATATAACAATAATTACAATGATGATAATTCCCAAGTGTGTTTTAATGCTGCTAGTGCTTTCATTAGAAAACATTATAAAACATAATTATATGTGCCAGTTGTGTATAGGTGTGCTTAACTATGTTTAAATGTTTAAGGGAGGTAAATATAGTCATCCTTCAGTACCCAAGGGGGATTGGTTTTAGGACTCCCATGAACGCCAAGATTCATGATGCTCAAGTTCCTTTTGTAAAATGGCATAGTGTTTACACATAACTTATGCACATCCTCCTGTATACTTTACATCATTTCTAGATCACTTATAATACCTAATACAGTGCATACGCATCACTTCGTTTGTGTGGATTCAATGTAGTACTTGGCATAAGGCAAATTTAAGTTTTGCATTTTGGAACTTAGTGAAATCCCCCCCTCCTCTGCCCCTGAATATTTTTCATCTACGGTTAATTGAACTCATGGATGCAGAACCTGCAGCTTCAGAGGATCAGCTGTGTAATTTACTATGTAATTAACCTTAAAATATTTTTATTATTGTATGTTTATCTGCATTTTCTTCTGCAGCATAACAACCAAAATGAATTAAAAGGAAAATTTGTTAAATCTAATGTGGCTATATCAGAATAATTTATAATTCTAGGAATGTTATAAAATGCTTTACATAAATAATCCCATTCAAACAGAAACAAGTTTTTAAATGGATAGGCATACTACATTTGCTCAAACAAAAATATGTTAGTTCTGTTAAGAACTAGTTTACCTTTAGTTACTGTGTGTCCTTGAGCTTGAAAACAATTGGAAAATGGCTCCTCGGGCCAAAATGTGCTTCAGCTTTGACTTCTCCGTTTACCCATAATGAGCCATTTCTGATCAGACTGGTTTTGTTCTTCTCTAGTTGATTATTGCCTAGTTTCAACAGACTTGTTCTTCTGAGGTTCCTTTGTGTCTAAATATTCAAGTAAAATGACATTTGTTACAAGTGGTTCAGTTATATACCAAACAACTCATAATACTTTAACAAAAAGCTGTTGGGATATGTAGCACGTTGTGTAACTTAGATACCACCCAGTGGAAGTTTTATTTATTTAGTCATGTCCAACATTGTATGAGATCTTACACAAATACCAAGTTATTCAGGATAGATTTCATTTTAGCTATCTAGACTATACTTTGCTTTTTAATTTAATTAATCAACTAGGCAATTCTAGCATTCTGCGAAAGCATGCTTTTTTCTGTTTCAACTGCTTTAGAGAGATTTTTCCCACTTCTTTCCAGATATTTCTGCTATGCCCCGTGGTACTCCATTGTATGGGCAGCCATCATGGTGGGGGGATGATGAGGTGGATGAAAAAAGAGCTTTCAAGACAAATGGCAAACCTGAAGAAAAAAATCATGACGCTGGAACATCAGGTAAAAAAGTCTCAATGACTGTGACATTAAATGGACATTTTGAAAAGCATTTGTAATCTAAGCAAACATCTGTCTACCATTAAAAGATATGATCTAGTATTCTATAACTTTATTTCTTTAAAGTTTGATTAATGTTTTAATGTAAAATTTTAAATTATGAGTGATTTTTATGTAAAGTATTACTTTTAATGTCTTTATAAAGCACTTTTATTTAAAATATATTTTACAGTTTAAATGAGATATTAAGATTTGGAAAGTAGATTAAAGATGTAACTAGGCATTTTAAATATATAAAAATAATTATTAAAATATATCAATTAGATATAGTACCAAAATAGTAGATACTAATTTGTGTTTTTATTAGATCCTCAGCATATAATCATATTTTAAAATTAGTACCAAAATAGTAGGTACTAATTTTGTGTTTTTATTAGATCCTCAGCATATAATCATATTTTTTAAATAAATTAATTTGTTCTTTGAGATGGGGGTCTCACTGCATTGCCCAGGCTAGTCTTGAACTCCTGGACTCAAGCCATCTTCCCACCTCAGCCTCCCAAGTAGCTGGGATTACGGCACACACCATCTCATGTCCAGCTTAATCATATTTTTAAATGAACAATTCCCACTTTGTTAAGAAATGTGATATGAAATTACAGATTCTTCAAAACCTCAGTGTGCTCATTTTGATGAGAAATGGCAGCAAGAAGATTAGTTGAGTTTGGCAGCCAGAATGAAAAAATAGTTCTGGGTCAGAGTTTCAGATTAATAATCAAGGAACATATTTTAGATACTTCTGATATTGTTAATGGAGTGGTTCAGTCTTTAAACCAGAAAATCAAGACTTCCAGGAAATAAATTGAGGTATCAGTTGCCACATAAGGACTTTGCAAAGACATGAGAACAGAAAGATGGAGCAGCCAGCTTTTGAGATAACAGCAGATAAGGATCCAGAACTGGAGGAATTAAGTCCAGGCACCTGGGATCAGTGTGGAAAACTTAAGTCTGGCTCTGAGGCAAAGATACATTTCATGAGAACTCTTGTCAGTTTTCTACTTTTCACCCTAATTCCACAAAATAAATAAGACATTTTTCTTAGCTGGAGAATAAGAATATTGATTCTGTATGTATGCTCTAATGGATACAAATCTAAGAAAGCTAGCATTATCAACTCGATCTTACAGTGCCCACGGCTAAATCTGTCAAGTCTGCAAATAAATTTCCATCACAGCTTTATTGTTTCTGTCACCAGCAGTTTTCTTCATGCCCACGCGCAGAAACAGTATTACTTAGCATGCTTTCAGATGTAACAACTGCTACCTGAGACTAAACAGAAAGGAAATTCACTGGCTCGCGTAACTGAACCCCATCAGGCTTGTTCACTGCAGCATCTCAACAGTGTCATCATCAGCTAGCTAGCTTCTCTCTGTCTCTCAGCCTTGCTCTTCAGAGTGGTTGCAGACTGAGGAGTTTACCCTCATTCTCATAGGCTGCCTGCAGTACCACTAAGGGGTACTCGCTGCTTTGATCCTATCCAGCAGAAAAGCCAAACGGTTACTTCCAGAAGACCTCCAAGAATTTGGAAGAAGAATCTTGCCAAAAGTTCTCAACATCTCTTTCATCTCATTGGCTTCTCACAGGTTCAGGAGAGGCTCACCTGCTTATTTCTGAACCAGTCCCTAGCAAGGCAAGTTAGATTATCCTTAAACCAATCTTGCTCACCTTGAAGCTGTGTGTGGTGTGAGTTTTCCCCTAAGCCACATGAGGTATGTCAGGGGAGAGTGGATACCAGAGATATTTGGAGTCCTTTTAGGAGGGAAGAACAGGGAAAGGATATTGAAAGAAAATCAAGGATGTCTGCTTTATTGGTGAATGTTGTGTGTTCCCTTCCCTTCTCCTTGTCGGTCTGTTGCCATTCCCCATACTCTGGTCCTGAGTGATGATTGGGCCACCAACCTCCTGGTTTCAACCCTCCTGCAGTTTATTTTATATAACATATTTAAATTGATCTTTATTGTATTTGTTCAAGACACTACAATGCCTGTCTTTTGCCTGCCAAATAGATTTTAAACTAAGTTTTATATGTCAGAGTTTTCTAATTTGTCCCAATTTCCAAGGTCAGCCTTATGTCCCATTACCAGTTGTTTGAGTGCTCTCTCCCAATGCACCCTCCATAAATTGTGCTAATTACCACCTACTCTTTTCCCACAGACATAAATACACACACACATTAGATGATACAGAGATGCATTCCAAATGATGTCTGTATATTTATTGTCAGTATGTTACAGTCTCATTCACTATATTGTGTGTATGCCTTCTCCCCACAACTAAACTGTACATGTCTTATTCAGGTACCACATAATATACTGTCATTGTGCCCTAGCCACTTAGTACTGAGAGGGGGAATGATTTACCAATTAGATGATTAAGAAAACAGAGCTGAATTTAATGATCGCCAAACTCTGAAAATCACTACTATAGTAATTTTATCTTGCCATTAAAATTTTAGTCCTCCTCTGTCACACACAAAACAGCTTTTGAATCTGAAGCACGTAATTTCTAACAGACAATGAAGTGTATCTGTGATTTTTGTACAAAAGGCACAACCATGATTTATAGTAATAGCTTACACTTCAGTAGTGTTTACTTTATCCAGACATTCTTCTAAGTGCTTTGTATGCATTTAATTACTTAATTATCACAGCAGTATCTAAAGGTGTAGTTACTATGATTTTATAGATAAAGTAACTGAGGCATAGTTAATGTACTTGTCAAAGTCACCCAACTACGAATAATGGAGCTGGGATTTGAACTTAGATCGCCTGACTCCAGAGTCCACGCTCTTTACCACAAGCAGTTTTAATATTTCAGCCATCACTACTCTTACAAACACACACAATCACTCTAAAAGAATATACTTAATAGGGTACAAAGGTTTAAACAAACACTCCAAAAACAAATAGGGATAAAAATTGATTCCTTCTAGTTCAGCATAATAATTTCAAATGTGAAGCATCCAGCAGTACTTTCATCTGTATGAATGTAACTGAATTCTCAGCCTGTGTGCCCTTCCTGCTGGATGATCAAAAGCTGTCTCATAATCTTGGGATTCTTTTTGAGTCATAATTAAGTGATTATATATTGCATCAAATTCCTTAAAATGCTCTATCAGATACAGCTGATTAATAATACCCTTAGGAGATTCCCACTTGCTTTCTTATGTTAGTATGAGAATATTACTGTTTCAGATTTATCATTTGCAGCTTTTTTAAAATATAGGATGAGGGAAAACAGTTTACTGCCTTGAAATAATTTATAACACCAGCAGAAATTATAGAATCAGATTTGCCAAGTGTTCTTTAATTTGATCATTTTGAAATTAAAGTATTTTAAAAAAATTAAACATTCTTTTTGAAGTTTCAAATTGTGGAATATATGTGATTCGTTTAATAATTTATGCTGTAAGCATACTCTTAGAGAAAGCAAAAAGCAATTTTCTTTTTTTTTTTAAGACAGAGTTTTGCTCTTGTAGCCCAGGCTGGAGTGCAATGGCACGATCTTGGCTCACCATAACCTCTGTCTCCTGGGTTCAAGTGATTCTCCTGCCTCAGCCTCCCGAGTAGCTGGGATTACAGGCATGTGCCATCATGCCCAGCTAATTTTGTATTTTTAGTAGAGTCAGGGTTTCTCCATATTGGTCAGGCTGGTCTTGAACACCTGACCTCAGGTAATCCACCGCCTCAGCCTCCCAAAGTGCTGGGATTACAGGCATAAGTCACCATGCCCTGCCAATTTGCTTCTTAATTATTAATTTCTAGAGTTACATTCCAGAAAGGATAATAGAGTGTTTGCTACCTAGCAATTTTTAATGGCCCTCTCTGTGTGTTCATATATATCCAGAAATTCCTGAAGACTTGTTGTATAGCTTTAAAAAGCCTGGTTTAAGCAAATATTTACTTCAGAGCATTTTTGTTCTCCAGAAATGTTGCACACCTTTTGAGATGGCATGTGCAATAGTGGACAGTAGATTTTTGGCTCTCTTATGTTGATTTTTAATCCAGTGAAACTAAATTTGAAAAGTTTCTAGTTGTAGCTCCTTTAAAGCAAAAGGAGTTTCCCAGTCTTCTTAATTTGAAGTACTTGGACAGACTAGGTTGATGGATGTCTTAAACAGAATGAGCTGGTATAATTATAGTCTTTGTCATCTCAAACAAGTTTAATATTTCATTGAATGTAATACAGAAGAATGAAAAGAACATTTATTCTGGATGAAGTATATTTTAAATATCCCTTATAATAATATATTGTGTTAAGGTAACACAGTCATGAAATACCTTAACATAAGCAAACCGATTGCTCTTTGGTTTAGATATACAGAATTAATTCTAGCATAATCAATCATCAAATAATTTTTTAAAATCTAGTAATTGAGATTAATAATATATTAGTCTAAACAAATACTATGTAGTTTAATTTGGTATAACAAAATGAGTTTTGATGATAGATGAATGTTAAATTTCTAAATTCCAGAAC